TCACACTCAAAGGGAAGTTCTATCTGGGGGCAGAAGCTAGGATTTGGCCCTGGGACTCAGCAGTCCAGTGAAACTGTCTGGGTCCTTTTTTGTGGAACCAAAGGGTAGGAGCACAGTGTGAAAGCAGAAGGCTGTGTAGTAAATAGCCAAGGGGCACAGATGTTACCTATTTACCTTGTATGCAGCCTTGAATGAATAACACAAGCTGCAGGACTCAGTTGCCCTGATAAAGGGGTGGCATCAAATCATGATCATGAGCACCAACCATCCTACCTACTTCTTAGATGCTGCTTACAGATGCAGGATATGATTACTGACCTACTCTCACACTTTGGGAAATAAGAGAAGACTGAAGTGTACTCACCATGTACAAACAATTCAGTGCCTCCTCCAGACTGAAACTCTTTGTCTTTATCAGATGTTTTCTGGAACTTCACACAGTAGTAGGTGCCAGCATCTGCTAGGATGACATTCCTGATATGGATGGAAAAGTCCTTGTTGTTTCTTATTGTGGTATCAGATGTATTTGTGACACGGGGGAAGTGGCCTCCTTTGAAACTGTAAACTAACTTCCGACTTTGTCCTTGTCCCTTGAACCACAGGGCAGGTCCCACAGGGTACAGAGAGGTTATAGTGCAGTGTAGAGTCGCTGTCTCTCCAACACCAACCAGGACTGGATTCTCAGGCTGAATTACTTTCAGAACCTCCTGTGCGCCTGCTACTACAAGGAAACACATAACAGTCATCATTCAGCCTGATGGTTCCTGGGTTTTCTCAAGTCTGTCAATACAGAATTTCACTAAGTGCAGATCATGAGTGCATACTGGAGCTCAGCACATTACATTTGTTAGCACAGTTAACCCTCATATAGACTGCTCTTTGATATTGCAATACCAGTGAGGATCCTGGTTAAATAACATAGTAGAGTACAGATTTGAGTGCCAGTGACCTTGAAAGTTTCATGCCAGACCTCATGTTTCACAAGTTATTTGTTGTTCGACAAATTCTGATCATACAGTACACTGAACATGACATAGCATAATCATGAGACTCCCTCAAGCTGCTAATTTCTGAGCAGAGGTGGGGTATCATCAGTGGGATCTGTACTGCAGTGCAGGAATCCATGGATAAGCTTCTGTTTTATACAGAGATGCTCAGAATTGGGCTCATTCTGTCATTTTGATAGTAGTACAGAGAACTCCCAATGCACAGTAACATATAAGTGAATAAGTACAATGTTGCTTTGAACCCATAAGACTTTTTGTTCACATTATGCTGGTTCCAATATCACATTATACTGATTTTGTCTTGCATGTTCCTGTGACAAATTACTGAGAAGTTATTTCCTTAAAATGACAAGATTATCACTTCATAGATCTGGATATCTAAAGTCCTAATTTAACATCATTGAGCAACACATATACATTAAAATACAAGAATATTCACAGTGGCTGGGGTTTGCTGGCATGCCATGCTGACCCCGCCCCTGGGGGTACACTGAGATGGTAATTGAGACAGGATGTGGTGCCATGCACCTGTAATCCCAGCACTTGGGATGTTGAAAACAGGAGAATCACTATGAGTCCTCTCTATGTAGTGAGACCTTGTAGACCCTGTCCTAAATGAATTTAAAAATAATATTCAAAGACATGGAAAGAGCAATTCTAAGTTTGATTGAGAATTGTAAAAGATGCAAAATATCCAAGATAACCAACAATAAAAGAGAAATGCTGGTGCAATCAAGATACCAGACGTTGTTGGGGAGATAGCTCAGTGACATAGATGCCTGCATGACAAGCCTAAGGTCCTGAGTTCCATACCTGGTACAAAAAAAAGAAGAAAAATCCTCTTCCAGACTTTAAGCTGGACTTTAGAGGTGCAGTAATAAAACCAGTATGGTACTGATGCAGGAACAGACATGTAATAGAATGCACTTGATAAAGGGACAGCCAAATATCTCAGAAGACTAAAGTGCTCACTTAGGCAGGGCACAGTACTTGGGGTTCAATTCTCGGTTTCCCTTTCCAGCCCTACCTTCAGAGTGCGCTGAGATGGTGATTGAGACTGGTTGTGATGGGGCATGCCTGTAATTCCAGCACTTGGGAGGCTGGAAACAGGAGAATCACTATGAGTCCGATCTATGTAGAGAGACCTATAGACCCTATGCTAAGTACATAAAAAATCCAATAGATTGACAAAGAAACAAAAACTTCAACAGAAATTTGATTTTGAAAAAGATACTAAACTATATGCTGGAGAAAAACAGTCTCTAGCAAATAGTTGTAAGAAAACACGAGAATCACACACAAAAATGGACAAATGATCTGAATACCTGCTTCTCCAAAGAAAGAATTAACAACTGGGACCTCCTCTTATTGGGGAGTTATTGCACATCAAAAGAAATTACCAGCAGAGTGAAAAGAAAACCCACAAATTTGGAAAAAATCTTTAATAACAAGCACTCAGACAAAGGTCTGCCCTTTCAAATTTATAAAGAAATAAAATATTAGAGCCCAAAATTTAAAGACCCAATCCAAAAACCGGTATCCATATGAACACACACTTCTCAGAGAATGAAATTATACAAGCAAATAAAGAAATGAAAAATGCTCCACACCACTAGCCATCCGTGAAATGCAAATTAAAACAACACTGAGATATCATCTTACCATGAAAGAATGGCTATCATAAAGATATCAGCCAACAACAAAAGTTGGAGAGGCTGTGGGGAAAAAGGAACACTTCTCCACTGCTGAAGGGAATGTAGACTGGTGAAACCAGTATGGAAATCAGTGTGGGAATTCCTTAAAAAAACTAGGACTGGAAATGTCATTCAAACCAGCTATCCCCATACTGGAAATTTTCCCAGAGGAACTGAAAAGTTCACATCATAGTGATATATGTGTACCTATGTTCATAACAGCATAATTTGTGATAGCCAAATCTTGGAAAAAACCAATATGTCTGTCACCTGAGGAATGGATAAAAAGATGTATGGTTTTATAATGGAGTATTACTCAGTTATAATGAATGATAAACTCAAAGCCTTTATATCTAAGTGGATGGCATTTGAAAATGTACTCATAAGTGAAATAAACCAGACCCACATATGTAAATACCATACAGTCTACTTAGTGTAAGAACTCCAAAGAAGAAATAAAAACAGAAAAGTATAACAAAATTAAAAGGAAAGAGAGAACTTAAGGATTAAAGAATGAAGAGAGAGCAAGGAGAAAAGCTAGGAAACATGACAGGGGTAAAGTCATACATTTACATGCAGAAAATGGTTAGGGAAATGATCCTGAGAATCTTCAGCATGTTTCTGAAACTAGCAGTCAGTTGGTAGGATTCTCACACTGACTAACTTTATATGCTGATACCTGTGAACTAAGCAACTGCACTGAAGATAGCAATGTGTAATCCTAGGTTCATGCTTCTAATGCCTGTCATTCTGTTCTTCTAAATATGTACTGATTGTCATTTCATACCAATTACTGCCATGCTGTCTATCAAGTAAATGTTTGTTTAAAAAAAGGGTAATAAATGAAAAAAAGAGAGAAGAAAAAAAAGGCATAAGACTGTTCTGCTATATTGCTGCATATGTTTAAATTTCTAAATTTCTCTGTAGAAATAGGAAATTGCTTGTTACTTTTATTGAAATTTTTTTTATTTTTAAATTTTTTTCTTCATATTTCATAGGGACTTAAAGTTTAACATATCAATACTTGATGGAAACTACCTGTTCCATATTATGTCTAAGATGTTTGATATTCAGAAAAATAGTGAGAATAAGCTCAATTGCCTATGTTATAGAGTAAAAATAACATTAAGCTTCTCTTCTAGAGGGTTAACAACTTAAGTTTCCAGTAAAAAATTAGAGAAAAAGAAGGGCTGCAAGGACAGGCAACATTTTGGCCCTAGCCTTTCAAGATCTGTGAGGACTCAGGACACAGGAGAACCTATATTGTAACAATCTATAACTCAGTGGTTTCCAAAATTTTCTTATCAAGGAGATCATAGAATCAAAGAAGAAAGTGAATGATGATGTAGAGTTTGCCTAAGGAGAGTCACATGTAAATAAAACATTCTCTTGGGCTTTCACAGAGAGCAAATTGATCAAGCAATGGTTGTGACTCATCCACATGGCTGACACCGATAAAAGATCTACAAACTGTGGTACAAGGTTTCATGGTAAATCCTGAGGGGATTTGACTGACCTTGTCAGATACAAAAGTTACTTTTCTTGTTATATAGGTCTTCCTTTATCTTGCTCTTAACCATCCAGTAGAAAAGTATAAACACAAGGTATAAAAAAATGAAGCCAGATTAATATGCTGAGCTGTAAAAGGCTTAAGTCTACAACCTCTGATATTGCACATTGTATGAATAATCCACTATCATTATGGAATACTGGAATACATTGGAATATTTTTCTTAATTCACACACCTGCAATATTTAGATGGCAATGGAAATACCCTTCTCTGTCAAAAACTAAACCAAAAAAAGAGGATACAAATGAAGGACCATTTTGTATGTGTATATACAAAATAGGAGAGATATACAGATAATTACTATTAATTCAGTGAGAAGAAAGATTTGTACTAATAATGTTTCTTGTCCGAATATCATGTTTGCATCTTTTACTATAAATAAACACTAAGAAGGCAACAACATACAATGTATTAATTATTGAATCTCTTCTACTAATCGGTTTTGAAACTGTCTCACTGTTATTTGTTTCTCAAAAAATTATTTTATATTTTTTTTTTTGAATTTGTTAAATTCTTCTTTTTCCCATAATTTTATTGATAAACAAATGGCAATGAGACAGTTTCAAATCAAATTGGTAGGACAGTTTCAATAATTAACACTTGCATACATTCTTCCTAGTGGTTAATTGCTGTACAAGATGCTGACATGATATCCTATTTACAAACACCATTAGGACAAATCACTCTATTCATTAAGA